AGAATTTGCAGAAACACCTCCCAAACTGCAGTATCGTATCTCAGGATGATTTCTTTAAGGTATCTAAAACTTCTCAGGTAATTCATTTAACACAACAAAATCCTAGTAGCCGGTTGATTAAATTACGTCCAGAAAGCCTTTGCTGAATGATACAGCTTTTGTAGTGCCCATGCAGTAATGTCACTGATCCACTAGATGGCATTACTTATTGTTGCGGCTCTGATTTTATTTATCCTCCTCATGCAAAGCGTTTACTAAAAGTTTATCGCCTCTTCATTCTATAATTGTATTATTTCTGCACTGCACAGTTTTGATGGGTGCTTCGTTATTTTTTCAGCCAGAGTCTGAGATAGAGATAGACGCAAATGGATTTCTGCAGTATGACGGTAAGTAGATGGGTTTGTGAAACACGCACAAGTGTTCATTTTCTGTTTCAAACCTCTGTCTGTGAAGACAGTCTCGAAACGTGCTCATACACACTGCTATACTCTACATATGCTTTTGTAAAGGTTTCTGATTTATGTCCAACTATTTAAATAAATGAAACCCAGGGCGCCTGGGTGGCTCAGTCTGTGTAGTGTCTGACTTCGGCTCAGGTCATGGTCTCGTGGTTCGTGAGTTCAAGCCCCGCATCAGGCTCTGTGCTGACAACTCGGACCCTGGAGCCTGCTTCGGATTCTGTGTCTCCCTCTCTCTCTCTGCCCCTTCCCGACTCATGCTCTATCTCTGTCTCTCAAAAATAAACATTAAAAACAATTTTTTTAATAATAAATAATAAATGAAACCCTTTTTCCCCAGTTTTATATTTAAAACTGAAAACATTGGAACAATAGATTTTTTTTTTTCTAAAGCTAGAACAAGGTATGTTTGCTGGTACTATATTCATCCCTGCCGGGGGGGCACACATAGCTCTACTCTCACCCCCTCCCTGCAGTCTTGCCTGGAACAAAGTCCAGGCTCATCCTGTGGGCTTCCCTCCCAGTGACCAAGGTGCACCGGACAGCTGGTTTCTTCTTTCCACTGCTCATAAGGGTTAGTGAATATTTTTTAGATGGATTCACCTCGCTCCCTTGCCCAATCTAATACTGTTTTGAAGCCAAAGGATTATAAAGTCAGAAAATATTTATTTTCCTCTAGAGAATGTCATGCTAATAAACTATATTTAATGGTCTTATCAACTTTGATAACTAACAAGATGATCACTGAGTGTTTATGCAAACTGGCAGCAGAAACAGCTCTCTTAAAGACCCATAAACTGTGTTCTTTATTTTTAACTTTGACGACCTTAGAGGAAAAATGTTGTGTAATCAGTTCTTACAGACACATGATAGTTTTAAGAGAAGCAAAATCCTTGACTCGCTGCCTGTTCTTGTGTCTTGAACTGTAGCCAGGATATTTTTTTTCATTTCCTCCCCCCCCCCACCGAAGGTTTGTAAGGAAGATTATTAAAAAGTAAGAGTTAAGCAAGGAAAAACCATTTTCAACAACAGACAAAGAATTATTTCTAATGCAAATGAGTTCTTATAAACTGATAAGAAAAACACTAATATTCTAATTGAAAAATGTCCAAGGATATAAATAAGCTTTTTACAAAAGCAAAAGGTTATTCGATTAATAAATATACAATAAAAGTCAACCTCAGAAGTAGCCAAAGAGTTGTAAATGATTTTTTCCCACTTATCTTGCAAGGAGATTTTTTTCTCAGTGTTTATTTTAAGAGAGAAGAGCCCGTGTCCACACACGTGCACATGAGCAGGACAGGGGCAGAGAGGGAGGGGGAGAGAGAATCCCAAGCAGGCTCCATGCTCTCAACATGGAGCCCATCATGGGGCTCAATATCACAAACCCTGAGATCATGACCTGAGCCAAAACCAAGAGTCAGATCCTTAACTGACTGAGCCACCCAGGTGCCCCAAAGTGAACAGATTTGTAAAGAAATAATTATCTAATGATGGCACAGGCTTAATAAAACAAAAACTTTCATAAATGGAAATATCAACTGACATAAGCTTTCTGGAAGGGAGACTGAACGCATGTCCCAAAGTCCTTAATATATTCATGCCGTGTGTCAAGTGTCCCACTTCCAGGAGTCTATCTTAAGGAAAATCTGAAATTTTTAGGCAAGTACACAAATTTAAATTTTTTTTTTTTCAACGTTTATTTATTTTGGGGACAGAGAGAGACAGAGCATGAACGGGGGAGGGGCAGAGAGAGAGGGAGACACAGAATTGGAAACAGGCTCCAGGCTCCGAGCCATCAGCCCAGAGCCTGACGCGGGGCTCGAACTCACGGACTGCGAGATCATGACCTGGCTGAAGTCGGACGCCCAACCGACTGCGCCACCCAGGCGCCCCAGCAAGTACACAAATTTAAAGTAAATCAAGGTAATGTTGAAATCTTTATGATAACCACCAAAAGGTTAATTTAAAGACACAAAGCTATCAAGTTTATAAATAGATGGAATCATCAAAATAAGTCAGAAGAGGTAAAAAACAGAGAACTTAAAAGAAGTCAAAAGATATGGAAAAGTAGAAAATGAGAGTAAGATGATAGATTTAAGCCAAATATATTGGTAGCTACATTAAATCAATTGAACTAAAATACAACAAAGATTGTCAAGCTGGATTGAAAGAAAGATAAAAAAAGCTCCTTACAAGAGATATATTTAAATATTAAGACAAAGAAAAGTAGACAAGGCTAGAAAAAGATAATGCCATGTGAATAATAATGCCTACTGAAAGAAATCTGGTATAACTACTAATATCAGACAAAGTAAACACAAAGAGTGTCACTAGAGATACTGTTACTAATATATTACTAAAAACAAAGAGATAAATAAGTTAATTCAACAGGAAGATAAACAATCCAAAATTTGTATGCACCTCATAACATAACTTCAAAATATGTTAAGCAAAAACTGACAGAACTAAATGGGGAAATACATAAATCTATAATTATTGTGGGATTTTTAAAAATTTTTTTAAAAGTTTATTTAATTTTGAGAGAGAGAGTGTGTGTGAGTGGGGGAGGGGCAGAGAGAGAAAGGGAGACACAGAATCTGAAGCAGGCTCCAGGCTCCAGGTTCTGGGCTGTCAGCACAGAGCCGGGTGCAGGGCTTGAACCCACCAACCGTGAGATCATGACCTGAGCCAACATCAGACACTTAACCAACTGAGCCACCCATGCACCCCAGTTGTGGGAGATTTTTAATACAACTTCTTCAGTAACTAGTGGGAAAAGCAGACAAAAATTATAAGGGTATAACAGATTTGAAGCACACAATTAACAAACTTAACTGAACTAGCATATATGGAACATGTAGCCAATCACAGCAAAATACACATTTTGATTTTCTTAAGAATACAGAGCACATTAATTAAAATAGCGTATGCAAGGGCATGGAGCAATTCCTAGTACATTTCAGTAACTTGAAGTAATATAGAGGTATCTTCTAATCACAGAGAACTGAATTAGAAATCAGTAACAAAAGAGTAAGCAGAAAACTCCCAAGCGTTTAGAAATTAATCAGTATCCTTTCTTTCTGGAAAAATTTAAACATATGCAAAAGTTGGCAGAAAAGTATAATGAACTCTCATGGATTCAACTTCTAAATGATGCACTCTTGACCAATTTATATTTCATCTGTACCCTTACCTTCTCCTTCTATATTTTTTGAAGTAAATTCCAGACGTCATCACATTTCATCTGAAGCAAAGCACTTCTGTGTATCCCGTGGGCCAAAGAATAAATCGCAGTGAAAATCAGAAGATCCTTTTAACTGAACAGTAATGAAAATATATTAAAACTAATGGTATTTCTGGTTGCAGCTAAGTTGGATTGCCCCCATTCCTTGCTCTTCCTCCCCCTTATAATTGAAAATCCTGGATGGAACATGACAAACAAAGGAAGACTCGAAGATGAAAAGAAGGGAGCCAAATGCCTAGGGCCTTCAGGACTTGAGGAAGGGCATGACTGTGATTCTGTGGGTTTTCTTTTTACCTGTCATATATCCAGGAAGGGGTACTGGAAGGGTGTGAAACATGGAATCATCAATAGGTGCAGACAAAAAAAGCCCCAAGAAACCTGTTCCCTCTAGTCAAAGGACCAGGAAAAGGATGGCCTACTCAAATCGAATATCATTTTGATAATATCCACCCTATTGTAGCTAAACACAGAGGGAAAAACCATCGTCCCCTCATGGTGTCAGCAGGGACTAGTGAGCAAGACTTCTGGACCCATCCGGCACCAGCAAGGCAAGGACCCCACCGGGGTCCTATCACTGGAGCCAGAGAGCTGGATTCCCACAGCCACCTACAGCAGAGACAGGATGACGCGGTGTGAGGTGGTGGTACTTGAGACTCCACTGTCCCCACCCGACGAGCGTCAGCTACTGTCAGGAGGATGCAGTTGAGAGCTGAACGTCTGTCCTCACCAAGCAACAATGAAGCTACACCTGCATCTCCCCTCGTGGCTGCCCCCACTCCATGTTGGTGAGGTTTAGCAGGGGGATGACCACCCATCCCCACCTAAACCTGCATACCACACCTAAACAGGGTAACTACCTATTAAAAAAAAAAAAGATCAAATAGGATCCAGAGCCTCACAACATAATACCCTAACCTTCCAGGACGAGACTGAAATTCATTCGTTACATCAAAAACCAGGCAACTCTCAATTTGAATGAGAAAAGAAATCAACAACCACTCCATGATTACCCAGATGCTGGAATTATCTAACAAGGATTTTAAAGCAGCATTCATAAAAAGGCTTCAGCTAGCAATTGTGAACATTCTTGAATCAAGTGAGAAATGTGAAAGCCTCAGTAAAGAAATAGGAGAGGTAAAAATCAAATAGGAATTTTTAAATTGACAACATACAGTAAACTGAAATTTTAAAACTCACCAAATGGTCTCAAGAACAGAATAAATATGACAGGGGAAAGAATCTGAATTTAAGGACAGAACAGTAGAAATTTATCTGAACAACAGAGAGAAAATGGACTGAAAAGAAATTAACAGAAATATGGGACAATAACAAAAGCTCTAACATTCATATCATTGGAGTCTCAGAAGGAAAGGAGAAAGAGTGTGGTGCTAAAGAAGTAGGTAAAACATCATAAATTTGGCATAAGACATAAACCTACAAATTCAAGAATCTGATCCCTAAGCAGATTAGACAAGACGGATCAAGAAGAAAAGAGAAGGCACAAATTACAAATATCAAAAACAACAAAGGTAGTATCACTACGGAGCCTACAGGCATTAAAAAGATAAGAGCATATTATGGACGTTCTGTGCAACTAAATTAGAAAACTTTAATGAAATTGACAATTTCCTGGGAAAATGCAAGTTACCAAGGCTAACAACAGAAGGGAAAATCCTAAGAGTCCTATGTCTATTAAATAAATTAATCGATAATTTTAAAACCTTCCACTAAAAAACCTAAGTCCAGATGGCTCAATTCAGTAGTTCCAGAGTAGGGCTCAGAAATTACAATTCTGGTAAATTCCCAGGTGATACCAATGCTGTTGGTCTACGTACTATACTTTGAGAATCAGTGTTGTAGAATACTTTTGCAGAATTATAATTGTAAGCTCAGAAAGTATGCTCAGTTTAGAGTTTGAAAACGACATATTCATGTCCTTTATAAAATTTTTAATGATTTTTCTCTTAATTGCCTATGAGAACGCTTTGTATATTAAAGATGTTGTGAAATACATTGCAGGTATTTTCCCCAGCATATCATTTATTTTTCAAACTAATTTATAGATATTTTGTTATCAAAAATATTAAACTTTTATGTAGTCACGGGGGGAACAGGCATTATAAATAAAGCAAGATTAGCCATGAGTTTATGATTGTCGAAGCTGGTAATGGGGCCATGGGAATTCATCGTACTCTACTTTTGTATATATTTGAAATTTCACATATTAAAAATGTTTTGGGGTACCAGGGTGTCTCAGTCGGTTGAGCGTCTGACTTTGGCTCAGGTCATGATCTCCAGGTTCAATGGTTCGAGCCTCGCTTCGGGCTCTGTACTGACAGCTCAGAGCCTGGAGTCTGCTTCAGATTCTGTGTCTCCCTCTCCCTCTGCCCCTCCCCTGCTTGCACTCACTCTCTCTCTCTCTCAAAAATAAATATTAAAAAAATTTGTTTTAAATATTTCAAACATATCAATTTGTCAATAATAGAGTTTAAATTTATCTAAAATATTTATTAGCTATTTTGAAAGGTAAATGAAATAGTATTATTTTATGTATTTATAGAACCCTAGACATACTCATCATACAAAGCCACATCATAAAACTTTTGTTGTATTCATTTCATGTATTTTTGTACATTTACTTGAAGTGCTTGAAGCGCTCAATATGGAAAAAATGATGTCCACCATTTCCTGCTGGATGGAAAGCCAAGGACAGTCCCTGGCATCAACAGACTCTGGAAGTGCCGAGGAAATTCCCATACTGATCATCGAAGGCTTCCTTCTCTTTAATTATAAGTAAGCATCCTCAGCCTTATACTGACCTTTAGTGAACGGTGGGGGTGCGGGGTGGGGGAAGGGAAACCTTGCGAACTAAATATGCTGTTATTTTAGGCCCCTCGACACACTATGGAACAGAAGCTACTTTCTGACCATTCCGTATGAAGAATGTAAGAGGAGGAGGAGGTGAGTTTTGATATCACCTTTGTGGATTGGAATTCCAAGGACAAAATATGCATGGGGATGAAAAGTACAGCATAGGGAATAGAGTTGGTCGTGTTTATAACAGCTTGTATGGTGACAGATGGCAGCTAACTCATGGTGACCATGGAGTCACATATAGGCCCGTTGAATCCCTGTGTTGCACACCTGAAACTAGTGTGTGAACTGTACTTCAACAAAAAATAAAATTTTTTAAGCAAAAACATTTTTAAAATTTTTTAAAAGACAAAATTGTAGGAAAAACAAGGAAAGAACATTATTGAGCAGTGTATATGTCAACAAGGCCTCATCTCTTCTACATGAAGAGCAAAACCTTGTTACATAAATGCTCATCCACCTGGACTAATGCAAATTATTTTTCTAACATACATTTATTTATTTGTTTATTTAGACAGAGAGGGCGTGAGCAGGGGAAGAGGAGACAGAGAGAGAGAGAGAGAGAGAGAGAGAGAGAATCCCAAGCAGGCTCCGAGCTGTCAGTGCAGAGTCCCATGTGGGGCTCAGTCCCACAACCATGGGATCATGACCTGAACTGAAATCAAGAGTCGGGCGTTTAACTGACTGAGCTACCCAGGCACCCTGCAAATTACTGTTCCAAGAAAAGGCCTTTCAACAAACCATTTGACTTCTCTGTCCTAAATCTTCAAGTGAGCCAGTCCCATGTTGATTATAATTTTAAATTTGTGAACCATTGTTCTGCTATAGCCACAAAGGACACCAGTTAGTTGAAAGCTTAATCTAACATATCAGTTCCTCTGTCATTATTTATGTTGATATTTGCTCTTGATTTTTTTATAAAGCACTGAAGCGTAGGCAAATAATTATGAATGGTAGCGAATTACAAAAATAATATTTTTGGAACCCGGAAAGTAAATCCATTTTATTGTCTTTGTAAGTAGCACTGAATCTAAAATGTATGTATGCTCTTAATCCTGTTTAGATTAAGTCTCAGTGATTTTCCCATTATCCTGACCACTGTTAGTGTATCAATTGTGTGTTTCCATCAGTATAAAGTTTCCTGTGTGTTTTGATAGTACGAGAGTCTACGAGCCTCCAGACACCCCAGGGTACTTTGATGGCCACGTGTGGCCCATGTATCTAAAGCACAGACGAGAAATGGAGAAGATCACGTGGGAGATTGGTAAGCGCCTTTTCTCCCTCTACAGAGGGAATTTACTTGTCTTTGCCTTTAAGTCCACAAGAGCAAGGACGTTAGGAGGTTTTTTACTCGTGGATTACATAATAAAGGATCCTTCTAAGCCACAACACTCTGGGCTCCTCTGCTTCCACAGTAGGCGCTACTGGTTTCTGTTTCTCGGTCTTCAACTCTCGTCAAAGCCTGTCAGCTTCTAGGTGGTCATTCATGAAACTCATATTGAGTGAATGTCTTCTGTGTGTAAGGCAGTGTCCTGCTGATGTCAAGGGAAGTAAGACAAAACCTGCCCCCACTTGTAAGAGCCAACATTCTGTCCAGGAAACAGCCGCTAAAGATCCTGGCTGCACGAGCATGTCCTCTCTAGCTATGCCAAGTGCTGTGCTACCAAGTTCCAGGGGGACGGCCCAAGGCCCAGCAATCAGGGAAAGCTTCCTTGAAGAAGCCTCTTAAACCACACTCTAAAGGGTTTAAATGGACAAAGGGAGATAGGTCGGTAGACAGAAGATCACTCCAGAGTACCCGAAAAGACCAGGGACACAAAGGAGCTAGTAGCACCTGAGAGAAGGTTGGTGTATTTTTGGTAGAGAAAACTGAGAGAGAGGTGATACTGGAGACACAGGAAAGATCTAAACTCTACCAGGCCAGTTAAGGACTTGGGGCATTATCCTGGGAGAAGTGGGAAGCCCTGTACAGAGAGGTTTTAAACAAAGACATGGTAGGGGCACCTGGGTGACTCAGCGTCTTGTTCTTGACTTCAGCTCAGGTCACGATCTCACGGGTTGTGGGTTCAAGCCCCGCATGGGGCTCTGCGCTGACAGCACGGAGCCTGCTTCGGATTCTCTGTCTCCTCTCTCTGCCCCTCCCCTG